ATCCATTCCCCCCCTCCTTTTCTTTTTCGCTTGTACAAATGGAGGATTAACCTCCTCGCCTTTTTCGCTGGGGGGTGGGAAACGTTTTTAGTTCTTTTTCTCTGCATTTTGACAACTCACAGTTAAGCCGATCTTTTCTTTTTCTTTTCCATTTTTGCGGATGGTCGCTTTATCACTCGGTGACGTCTGGTGGCTCCGCTAAACCCCGTTCGGGGTCGCTCACGCAGCAAGGTCCATTGGGGCAGGGCATGGCGGGAGCCTCGCTCTCCGACCTCTCGGTCGAAAGAGCGACTCCCCCCTAGTGCGCCCTAAAGCGCCCCGGATCCGAGCTCCTCTCTTCTGAGGGGCTCGTTCGGGTCTCCGCTCGCGCGGATTCCCTCCTCCACCGCGGGCAAGCGAGGCGCCCTCGGGAGCGACCCGAGGAAGCGTCCGCCATGCGCGGGAGCCAGACCGGAAGCCTATTTCTGGCTGAGTTATCAAATATGCCATCTTGGCATACAAGAGAATTTTTTTAAATGGGTATTGAAGTTCCTGTTCCATATTAGAGTCTAATAGATTACAGCAAAGAAGGGATAGAGAAAGAGAGAAATAATGTGTTATTGGAGGGGCTAATATCTCTTTATTCTGCCCTCTCTCTTATGATAAAACCCCAACTGACAAAGTTCTTTATAGTACCTTTTGGAGGATTATTGCTTAGTTCTTGCATTCTCACTGAATTTGCCTCTTCCATGCAGTCCATTTATTTCTGTGTTCAAAACAAAGACCAAATCCAAACAAAAATAATAACTTTTCATTAATGACATACAGTATGTTTTAGTACTTGTGGTTTTCAATGTTGCAGAATCCTCTGATCATCAAAATTTAGCAGGATATTGTAATACAAAGTACAGTTTTATTTCTGTGGAAAAACCTTGTATTTTAAATATTTCACTATAATTCTGTAGCAACTATGAACATGATGGTCTCTTGGAAAGTGATCTAAAAACATCTATCTCAGTCTCAATATATTTGTCATCTTCCTATATCGAACACAATAACTTCAGCTAGTCTGAGCAGACAATACTGACTTTGATGGACCAGTGGTCTGATTCCGTATGTGTTCCCGTATTGAACATTACTTGAGGATATATGGAGGCACAAAAAAATATCAAATGGATGTCCTTCTCATAAGGAATCCTGCCAAACTAAGCTTACAGCTTTTGGAGTTTTGGAACATACTTTATGAAAAATGATGTAATGTATGCCATTGATCTTGATCAAAAGAATCTCAAATGACGATGGAAGATTAAGCTGTGTAGAGCTATTTATCATAGGTACAAAGAAATGGTTTTGGAAATTTTGAAAAATAAAAACAGATCAAGAATTTGAAAGCACTGAAGTAAAAGAAAGCAAATATGTCCCACATAGATTTCAGTAGCTATTTTATCGGTTGAGATAAATAGTATATCAGATTACTTTGAAGCCATACTTTAATTTTATCTTCTTTCTACAGACAGCTGACTACACAGCTCACTGTTGTGTTTCCCAGTTAGGGAAACAACAGTAGCATGAGATAGGTGCTATGCTTATGTGTCCTTATAAAAGAGAGTTCCAAAACAATTGGTGGCTCTGTATGGCTATGTGAATCCACTTGTACAATCCCTCCCCCCATCAGTGGAATCCATAAGACTGCTTCCACATGCAGAGTTCTCTTATTTGATCGTGGCAAGAGATAACAGAATGGAGAAGAAAACTCATAGAGGTCAAAGTGGGCCACCATGTTTCCCCAGCTGGAAAATATATCAGCATGTTATGGCAGCCCTGTGTAGTCTTGGTGCTTTGTTGGACATGTTCTCTCTGTGAGAGAGGCAGAGCAAGAAACATCGTAACCCCTTACTGGCAAACCTATGCCCAAAAGCTTCGCAAACAGCAAGCAGTTATGTAAACACTGAGGATTTCCCAGGCAATGGGAATTATATATTTTAGGAATCATAATTAGACATATGACGCTCTGTGGATCTAGTCAGTGACTGGATAGGACACCCTCTATAATATTTGTATCCCACCTTTCCCCCCATATATATAGAGTCTATATACGTGAGGGGAAAGGTGGGATAGAAATGTAGCAGTAAAAATAGTTTTGCCATTATGGGCAGCTCATATTGAACTTTTCAGGTAAAGCAAAAAAAAATCATATTTATTTTGGAGAGCCAGTGTGGTGTAGTGGACAGGCTGTCAGACATTGATAAGGGAAACCCAGATTAAATCTTGATTAGTAAGTGTCTTTGAGACAGTCGTCTCTCAGCTTAAACTACCTCAAAAAAGGGTAAAATTAGGTAGGAAGGCAGTGAGAATCAAATAATCTGGAACCATGTAAGGCTACTATCATAAGCCTAGTTACCAGGAATTAATTTATGTATACTGCATAGGGGCTCAAACTGGTTTACAACATCACTGTCTCATCTTGTATTTTATCATCACAACCACCATGTGAGGTAAGTTAGGCTGAAGATGTGTGGCTGGTCCAAGGCCACCGAGAAAGCTTCCTTGGTAGAGTGGGGATCTGAACTGGAATCTCCCAGATCCTCGTCTAACTACTACAGTACCATGTTGAATTTAATGTGATTTACTTCGAGGTAAACTGCAACTTGTTTCCATGAAAGCAAGTTATTTCAAATTCATATACACTGTGTTCTTAATTGATTTGCAAGTTGTTTTGAAAGTTAAGTGGCTCCAGTATTAGCATAACCACACTAAGAGAGTAATAATAGCCTTTGCTTTACAGTTCTGTCATCAGATCTTTGATACAATCAAATTCCACTGCACTGGAACTTCAAAGAAACTGGAACAATTATTCACTATGTATCTGACAAGCTAAAACTAAATTAAGCAAAAATAGTCTGTACTAACATTTTCTAACCTGTTGACTTTAGCTCTTCTGCACAGAGCCAAGCATTCCTGGCAAGTAATCATTTGGATGCTTCTTTCTTGTTATGATTGAAACTATTTTATGACTTGTTTTTCTTCTTTCTTGTCTGAACAGAGCGAGAAGCAGAAAACAGAGCAGCTATCTTCTTAAATTAGCAGAACTTTAAAAAATACAATGGAAACTGCATTTATGCAATTTATAGGCTGATCCTATGCAAAGATGTTTTCAGTTACCTTAGGGGCACTTAAATATGTATGGGGTTGATTTGACAATTACTTCAAATGGCAACTACATTACATTTATAGGTGGTAATTGTTGACTTTTATTACAGAAAATAAAGGACCTACAGCCCATAAAGCCTTTGAAATCGGGAGGCCAAAATGAGCCTATCCTTATGATAAGGAGTCAATGGTCTTTGAGACAAAGGGCATCATTGGACTTTTGTCTCACTTGTACAGTGTCTCTGGTTGCTTCTCAAAGAAATGAGTGGCTTCCTTTGACTGTTTATGCAAGTAACTGACCAGACTACAAATGGAAAGAAATTACCACAGTCTCTTGATGGCAGCAATAGGGGAGAAAAGTTTTCCCCATCACCCTGTTTGTGTCCTTGATTGCAACCCCCTTACTTTCTTTCTTAAAACTCAAGAGTGTTCTGTGGACTTCTGAGAGAAAAAAAGTACAATTAAACCTTCCTGTAAAAAACATTTTTTAAATGTGTTGAGAATAGATCACAGCTAAACCAGACCTTTTCAACTTTGCAGACACAGGCAAATGCTTCAGGCTTGGTTCAGAAACATGAATAAAGTGCCTGAAACAGACCATTTAAGAATTTTGAACCAGTATATTCAAATATATATTATACAAGAAAATGTTGATATGAGGAATCCATAATGCTGCCTTATTGGTCCACTGAAGTAAGTATCGCATACTCTGACTGGTAGCAGATCTCCAGGGCATTAGAGGTCTTTCATATTAATTACCATCTAATTTAACCAGAGACACTTGGGATTGAATTTGGGGCCTTCTGCATGCCACGCCGATGCCCCAGCCTCACCCCCATATCACGGCACCAGTGATGTACATCTCCATTTGCCTTTATATAACTCATACAAACAGATGAATTGTCAACAAGATTGTTATGGTTTCTACAAAACTGGCATTATTTTAGCAACTTGACATGTATTTGAGATGCAATTTTACTGTGACACAGTGGAGGTTTTCCAATGACGTTTTGGCAAAGCTGGGAGCAGAAAGACAAGAGAACAGTATTAGAACACATTATGTTTCCACTAACAAATAATCACTGTAGGAGGAGGAATTTTCAAAGAAACTGTCGAAATAGCATGTGCAGATGTTCAGCCAACTGTTTGCTCAGTTCTGGATGGAAAACAGGAAGGAGGAGTTTCACATTCCAAACTGGCCTTTCTAAATAGTCTCTTGCCAGTCATATTGGTTCCACAACAACAGCCAGAAAAGCAGGGACTTTCCCAATATTGCTGCTCATATTGTAGCTATTAGCTTGAATTTCTCTTGGAATGAGGTCAGAACTTTTGAATGATTCATGTAACTGAAGGCTGAAATGAGAACAAACATCGTCTGAAGATTGCAATCCACAGTAAACCACATTAGAAGATTAATAAAATTGTTTTGTTGAAATATAGGCTGCAATTGCCATGCTCAGACCAACGTTTACAGACTCAAATTGGAAATTACAATGTTACTCACAATCTTCAGATCTTTGGTTTCAAGAATCATTTACTTCAATAAGATTATTTAAGTGAAAGTCTTAAATAATCTTATTGAAGTAAATGATTCTGAAACCAAAGATCTGAAGATTGTGAATAACATTTTAATTTCCAATTTGAGTATGAAAATATTAGTTAACCTTCCTGGCACAAGTGTTCAGTAATTTTCCCAGCTCAACAGTGAGTAAGAATATATTAGATCTATTTTCCTTTGAGATAAATTTTAATTGATAACATTACAAATACATCTATAAGCTAAACCAAAATTCAGGGAAAGTACTTTTAATTATTTTTTTAGACTGCGGTGGCTCAAGTGGTTAAGACGTTGAACTGCAGGCTGTGGAAGGTCGTTAGTTCAGCAGTTCAAGACCCGGGTGCCACATGACGGAGTGAGCTCCCATCTCTAGTTCCAGCTCCTGACAACCTAGCAGTTCGGAAGCAAGAAATTGCAAGTAGATAAATAGGTACCAATAAATTGGCCACCAAATGAGAAGGGAGCACACACTGGAGAAGACCCTGATGCTGGGAACGATTGAAGGTCAAATAAGACGGGGACAGCAAAGGATGAGATGGTTAGACAGTGTCATCGATGCAACGAACATGAAATTGAGCCAACTTCAGAGGACGGCGGAAGACAGGAGGGCCTGGCAGGAGCTGGTCCATGGGGTCGCGAAGAGTCGGATTCGACTGTGCGACTGAACAACAACAAAATAGGTACCACTTCGGTGGGAAGGTAACAGCGTTCTGTGCGCCTTGGTGTTTAGTCATGCCGGCCACATGACCACGGAAACGTCTTCGGACAGCGCTGGCTCTTCGGCTTTGAAACGGAGATGAGCACCGCAACCCTAGAGTCGGATTCGACTGGCTTTCGAGCAAGGGAACCTTTACCTTTACTTTAGACTGCAGCACATAGCGAACACTATTATGAAAGGATAACTTAAAAAAAATTCAGAAACCAGTGTTCAGTTCAGTTCAATTTTATTGCATTTTAAAAAATGTATTTATTATTTGCATTTATATCCTGCCCATCCCACGGGCAGGCTCAGGGTGGGTATCATCATTGAAATAAATACAATTTCAGATTTAAACATT